AGGACAAAAAAAATGATATTTGGCAGGCCAGCATACAACTCAAATTCAAATTGTTTAGCTTCTTTATATGTGAAGTAGAATGGTGACGCCTACTAGGGATTTCCGTGGCCACTATAGAGTCCACTTGTATTAGTTGCTTTTCTCATTGCAGGGACAACATCTGACAAGAAACAGTTTGAAGGAGGAAGGGATTGGTTTTGGCTTCCAGTTTGAGGGGATACATACAGCCCATGATAAAGAGGAAGGATGGCAGGAGGCAACTGTTCACACTGCATCCAAAGGCAGGAAACAGAAAGTGAACAGGAAGTAAGGCTGGGCTATAAAGCTTCCAGGGCCACCCTCAGAGACTTCCTTAAGTGAGGTTCCCCCCCCAAAGGTTTCAGCAAACTTCTATAAAAGCACCCCCGGCGGGGGGGGGGGGGGGGGGGGGCTTCCTACACTTCCTCATTTCCTCTACTTCCTCATTTGCACAATACCAGCCTTTCATGACATGGAAATGTAAAAAAATAAGACAGTGAGTGTTGCTGGGGGAAGCAAACCACTGTTGGAAATGGACCATCAAAACAAAAATGATGGAAGACCACCTCAGGTACAGAGAGCAGCCTTGCACAGCCAAGTCCTGTTACCTGGCTGCTCTGCCCTCAAGAAACTCTGGAGCTAGTATTCTGCATTTCTTTTTCTCTTTGTGAGACAAAAATCTTACTATGTAACTCAGGAGATCCTCAAACTTTCTGTATACCCAGTAAGCCTTATACTTGGGATCCTCCTATCTCAACCTCCCAAGTGCTGGGGATAAAAGCATGCATAATGACACATGTCATAATTCTGTGCTTCTATCAAGATCCCTGAGGAGACCAAAGGAGCTTGAGTTTACCTGACAGAATTTAAGTGAAGGGCCTCCGGAGACTGTCACCCAGCCACCTGGAATCTTGTGGATAAAGAACACAGCCTTAAGGGGTTTCAGAGGCCACGGGGACACTAATAACAGCATCGCACTCATAGTCTCAGACAAAAGTCAGTCATGCACAAGCTCTGGTTGAGAAATCAAGTCTAACCTCATAGTTCTAGTGTGGGCAAGATGCCTAGAATGGGTGATGGCTGCTGTGTAGCGGAGCCTTTTAAAGGGGAAAATTGACAACCCTTTTGCTGCCACTTCCAGGACCCCTGGAAGCTGAGGGGTGCACAGTGTGGTGTGTGAGGCAGCAGGCTTCACTATAGTTTAAAATTACTCGGTAATTGTGTTAACAATTTCCGTCTCAAACAAAAAAACTACTGTAGGCGTTATCACTGAGATGCTACTTGGAACTTGATTAGCACATACCTATAATTCTGTTCTTGGTAACTATTTGACCTGTGGAATTTAGATAAAAGTGATAGGATGTGTGTCAATTCCAAGTCTATGTCATAAAATAAAATGTAAGTATGCTCCCTTTAAAAAAAAAAAAAATGTCATCTCTGAGCTTAATATAGCCATGAGCAAGCTTAGATATATAAAAACCTCAGTGATACTCAGCACAGGCCACCAAAGCATTGTGATAAAATATTAATGTAATTGAGACAAAAGGGTAATTCATCAGAGTCACCAGCACAGTAGAAGATGGTTTCTGATGGTTTAGCCTGCCTGAGGAATCAAAGCTCAAAACGGGCGGTAAAACAGTCGCACTGGTCCTTGTGCCGTTGGTCTCAGGCACAATTGCCCAGCACCAATGGGTTTTCAGTGGTAAGATCCTAAGCCCTCAGTCACAGAGTAGCTGGCTGTCTTGAACATTTTATGATCGCAAAGTAGAGTCCTGCAGGGGTAATGGTAATTCTTTTGAATTTATCCAGCTCCGTGCCCTTAGGATCATACTGAGTTCCTTGTTCCAAATGACATAGCCAAAAGTAGTTATTTCTTAATTTCCTATGCTAAAATAAGGTAATAATATGTATTTCTGTTTTGTGCACAAAGGCTAAGTGCTTTTCTGTCAACTGAAAATGAGAGGAAAGTCTTTTTTTTTTAATATTTCAACTTTTTCCATATATTTCCTAATAGGATTTTTGTTTGTTTTTAGGGGATTTCGATGTTTTTTTTTTTTTTTAATGTATCAACATTTTACCTGCATATATGTATTTGCACCACATGTGTCTGTGGTAGCTGTGGAGTTCAAATCCCCTGGAACTGGAGTTGTGGATGGTGTGAGCTACCATATGGGTGCTGGGAACATAACCCAACCCTGTGCATATCTCTCTCTCTCTCTCTCTCCCTCCCTCCCTCCCTCTTTCTCCCCCTCCTGTTCAGTGACGATAACCTACACTGTTCAGTACCACTGCTTAAGAGGCGTAGGGTAAACAGAAAGGAGCCATAAGCCGCATGGTTGAAGATATGCAGGGGGCCTAGGAACACAGAAAGACTCCAGCTTCTTAGATTAATTCAGTACACAATAAGCACTCACTGAAATTGGGAGGAGTCAGTATCTGGGAAAGATCTAGATAAGACAGTCAAATGGAGATTAGTAAGGAGAGCAGCCATCAGTCAGTTTGTTTTGCTTTAACAGTATCTGAGCTGGATGTGATGGTACATTGATGTAATCTAAGGACTGGCACAGGGAGGACTATGAATTCAAAGTTAACCTCATCTACATAGAGTTTGAGCCAGCCTAGACTACTTGAGACTCTTGTTTTAAACTAAACCAATAAAAACAACAACAAAAACCAATAGCCAGTATCTTTGCCTCGGTAGTTTATAAAAAAAATAATAATTTATTTCTCACAGTCCTAACTACAAGTCTAAGAAAATGCTGGAAGGTTCACGGTCTTAGAGAACTCGACCTTTCTCATTTCGAGTGCTGGCCTGCTGCTGTGCCCTCCAGAGTGAACAAGCCCTGTTCCAGTCCAAATCCCCCACAACCCATGTATTGTTATTTCAGAGGGGAATAAGTTTTAATGCATGAATTTTGAGGACCATCTATATGGTAGCAGGCAGTAAGTTTTCTGCTCATTTATCAAGGCAAAGGTAATCAGGGAGTCACAGAAAAGGGAGTGAAAGGTGGGTGAGAGAATTGGAATTGGGATTCAAATGTCGTCAGTAGCGTTAAGTATGTGTCATGGATGGTTGTGAGACTGAGAATTTGTGTGCACAAATTGCTGTGGCATAGGAAGGCAGAAGGGAGGAGAGCCAAGTCCATAGTCCAGGAGAAAGGCTCAAGGTTATAAATCCTCCAAATTCTCAGAATATGTATAATAAGAGAGGAGAGTCAAAAGGGAAGAAATAGCATTTCAATTCTGTGCACATGTAGGAGATCATTACACTTTCAAGCATGGCTTGTGTTTTTAAAAGGAAAAGTTGCGGAAAGAGATCCAAGAAGAAAATGTTAAGGATGCAGAGCTTTTTTTCTTCCCTTTTTTTTTTCTTTGTTTCTTTCTCTCTTTCTTTCAAGGAGGGGCAGAATCATTCAGAGACATTATGGGGAAACAGCAAGACAATGACAAAGTTCCAAAGCACAGGAAGTGAGCAGTGATAAATGCCATAGAGAACCCAAGCAGACAAGAGCTCCCTCCTAGCTGGGCTTCTTTCCTTTCTATATGGACGTGTAGGCACCAATAATTATTCCAGACTATCTTGACTTCAGGGTAGTAAGTGCTAAAGAGTCAGAGCATAAGATTTATATAAAAGAAATGCCCATTTCATTTATTAAATCAGATTTTGGCTAAGTTATTGGCCATTACCTTTGACTTGGTGAGACATGAAAAAGTATAGAGATAATCTAATGAGAGCCTTTTATCTGTGTGGGAAAGGTCACTGCAAGCATCAAATATTGAATTTTAGATCAGTGCCACACTGAGTAGGTATATATTATAACTGAAATTAGACTTCAAAAGGACTAATTTGCTTAGGGTCCTATCATTTAAAATAATCTCTTGTAATAAAACTGACTCTACAGGAAGATATTAATAGCACACTTTAATTCTCTCCCTTCAAATTGTTTTAATGGGTACACATTTGAACAGAATTTTAATTTTTCCAGTAAATTGGCTTTTTTGTCAACTTAAAAGAGAATTTAAAGGATGATAGTAAAATGTTACAAGTCAAATCTTACATCCAGATTTAATTTTCCTTATGTTATCCAGCATTAGTACTAATCAGTGATTGGCTTAAAGTATATTTTAGTAAACTATTGACACAGGAATGATTGAGTGATGACACACTTAAATTAATCAAATATTATTACTACATGGGTCTCTTTTTTTAACTATAATAAAAGTGTCAGGTGGACTTTGTTGTAAGTTAACAGGAGATTCAAAAATCTTCTGGGTATTTTGTTTTTTGTTTTTGTTTTACCTGCTTGGATTTAAGCAGGGACATGGGAGTTTTGTTTGTTTGTTTAAGATAGAAAGAAGCTACAGAGAAGCACGGCGGGAGCTTTCATCTCACGTCACATGTATGACGCTGGAAGGCAGAGATAGAAGGTTAGCCCAGATAGTTAGCATGGCTCTGCAGAACTGTACCTCAAAGGACAAAGTTCCTGTTGCTTTGAGGAAGGCAGGTGTTTTCAGAGCAAAAGGCGACAACTAAATGGAGCAGGCTGCCATCTCTAATGCTCCCTCGCCCACCCACGTTTCCAGGAGATGGGGTAAAGGTTGTCTAGTTTCCGAAGCTGCACCTTGCCGAGTTCCATGCTTGGCAGTGGCGCTCCACCCTGAGCTACCGCAGGGCATGCTACGGCTCCCTCAGGATCACTGCATAGATGTGGCGTCTATGCAAAGGGAAAGGCAGTTAATCCTCGAGGTTTTCACCTGGAGGAGCAAAGCAGCCGCAGGGCAGCGTCACCCCACCATGGACCATTCTCCACGGGGTCAAAGCCCACCTGGAAAATTGCTAGCTGTGCGCCTAAGGACCTTAGCGTCTGCGGTTAGGTGGTATCCAATGACAACCCATGGCACATAGCACATAGTGGGAATTGCTGCTGAAGCTGTGGCCGCTGTGAATATACATTAACCAAGGATACGATGGGTTTGTTTAGATGAGTTGCTTCAGAAAGAGCAGAACTACTCCGACGATGTCCTGGCCAATATGATCAGTGAACCCAGAATCAGTTACGGAAACGATGCTCTCATGCCGTCTTTGACTGAAACGAAAACCACTGTGGAGCTCCTTCCCGTGAACGGGGAGTTCAGCCTGGATGATCTCCAGCCATGGCATCCTTTCGCGGTGGATTCTGTCCCAGCCAATACGGAAAATGAAGGTAAGAGTCCCTAGGTGAAGCCGGAAGCTTTCTGGTATGTACCTGTGTGCTTTGTACGGCTTCAGCTTATAAGACACAGAGCAATCAAGGCAGGTACTCGCCATCTGCACACATACGTGTTTTCCCACAAAGTAATAACAACACTAAACTTGTTAGTGTAGTACTTAATATATCTGTTACATGAAGATGATTTTGAATTACTCTCTAAATTTTAGTGCTATAAAGTAAATAAGCTGATACTTCATAGCCGAGATAGGAGTCCTGTTTTATAGGTCGAAAAGGTAACAGTTGCATAGAATACTTTTAAGAAAAGAACATGTTTGCCAGACTAGAAATACTGCTCCTATAGCTTAGAGGATCCATAGCATGTGTCATAATTATCCTGTGTACAGCTGTGTGCAGTCATTTCTACATTAAAAAAAAAACAAGTAGCAAAATGGACTACTAATTTTTATTTCCCCTTTTCTTCATAGATTTACATACATATTTGCATATGTAGTAGCACACATCTCCCAGCTGCCCAAGATCAGCCTGTACAAATATAGGGAAACTCCATCTCAAAATAAAAGTACATAATGAAGCACATAGTACATGCCACATATTACTGTGTGTGAGAGAGAGAAACAGAGACAGGTAGATGGAGACAGAAATAGAGAGAAACAGCCTTTGACTTCTAGAAATCCACCTCCCTCTGCCTCCCATGTACTAGAACTTAAGGCACCAGGAAATATTAAAAAAAAAAAAAAAAATTCTCATTGAGAAGTATTTTTTTGCTTCCATGATATCATGATATTTGACTTGCGATTATCAGATTTGGGTCCAGAAAGCCCACCTATAATGAAAAGGGGACCAAATTAAGGGCATACAATTTGACCATCCAAGAGAAGCTGGGACAGAGCCTTATACAGTGAGACAGACACTGAAATAATCTGCTTGGCTACTGATTACCTGAGAGCTCAGATTATACTAATTTCAGGAAGCTTGCTTCAGAATTAAACAGTTTCATGCTAAGTGATTTCAGTGCAAGGCAGATATTAGAATTAAGGAACTCATGCTAGATGTTTTGTTGTTGTTGTTGTTGTTTTTCCTACCAAAGCACAAAGAATTAAGTTTCTCTCACACAATGAATTTGCACACGTGGGTGATGTGGGTTTTCCACAGGGACTTTGTAGCTGTTTAGGAAACAGTATATTTTAGTTTGCTTTGGCATTTTTTACATGTTCAGTACAAATTGGATGCATACAATTGCCTTGATTTAAAAAAAAAAAAAAAAAAACTACAAGTATTTTCCAAGAAAGCAAGAGGAATCTATCTGTGATTTTCCTCAAAGTGTAAGAGCTCTGACTGAGCAGGCAAGGTGGAATTTTTTTTGTTGTTTGATTTTGTTTTCTTGGGGGTTTGTTTTGTTTTGTTTTGAGGCAGAATCTCTATGTAGTTCTGGCTGTCCTGGAACTCACTGTGTAGTCCAGGCTGGCTCACAGAGATCTACCAGCCACTGCTGGGATTAAAGATGTATTCCACCACACATGGTGAGCAAGCAATTTTTAAAGATAGGCTGCAAAAATCTGGACTTTTTCACAGCATAACAACCCAGTTTCTTTTTTTAATCTAAAAAATAAGGGGCAATTTACAGGTATAATTGGATTAGATCCTATCAGATACAACAGCAACATTGCTTATTGACTTTCCTATTTGTTAAAATAATCCTAGCAAAACAAAAATGATAGGTCATTGATTTTCAAAGTCCTGGGTAACATCCATGTCATGTGGTGTTATATATGTACATTTTGGGGTAAAGTCATTTTGCCCAATGTATACCCTATAATGAGATGTATGTGTAAAAATGTACAGTCTCATTTTCTAAGCTCAGAGCACACCAGATTAACTCTTCCTTAATAAAAATAACACATGCTATGACATGAGCCTTAGGAAATAATGTGTGCACGTGTATAGACACACCACAGACTTACACACTGATACTCTTGAGTATTGCCAAGCAATCCAGGCAGACAGCCCTGATTTAAGAGCCTCTTGATATATGTTCAGCATTTAGTTTTATTGCCTAGGTTTTATCTAAGGCAGACATTCTTGTTAAAGCTCCGCTCTTGGGGTTGGGGAGATCCGTTAGTAAACAGTTTTTGCCTTCAGAGCATGAAGACCTGTGTTCATTCCCCAAGCATCAATGTAAAAAGCTGGGTGTGGTGGCTCTGGGGAAAGTAGAGAGAGGTAAGTCCCGGAGATGCACTGCCCAGCCAGCCTAGTCTACTTGGTAAGTTCTTTGCCAGTAGGAGACCTTGTCTTGTAATTCAAGGTGAATGGCTTCTCAGGCATGACCCCCAGGTTGATCTCTAGCCTCCCCACACATGTGCAAGCATGCGTGCAGGCACACACACATCCATACACAATCTGCTAATGACCAACAGCATAATATCATATGCCAGCAAGAGGAGAGGTCAGGAATATAGTCAATGCAAGGGTTTGTCACCTCATGTGAACCATCCATTAAGTCTGCTGCAGCACCAGCTTAACTGTATGTCTCAGGGGACAATAGTCCTTATGTTCTCCAAGTCTTGCCGGATGGATCTCACCTTTATCAGTCCCAGTACCCCATTAGCACAGGTATTTTGAAAAGCTTTTTCAACAACTAATACATTTTTGTTTTATTTAATAGACTGAGGGGTGAACACAGGATTTGTACATGCTAAGCATGGGCTCACCTACAGACCTGAACTCCCAGCCCACTTCAGTTCGTCTTCAAATAAAAAGGGCTGGCAGGGTCTTCCTGGGAAAACAATGTCGCAAATTACTCTTAGAAACAACGGTCTTTCCTTTATTTGCAACACTCATCAGGAACTGCGGGGACTGGGGTGCAGTGGCTCAGTGGGAGAGAACAGTTGTTCTGCAAAGTGAGGTCCTGAGTGTGAATCTCCAACAGTCACATAAAAATCCAACCTTGGCAGCATATGTGTATAATTCCAGTACTGGAGTAGACACAGGTGGATCCTGAGTGCTCATTAGCCAGCCAACCTACATGAAACTGCAAGCTCCTGGCTCGGTGAGACCCTCTGTCTCAAGGCTGTATGGTAGAGGGCTAGAGGAAAGCACCCTAGGCCCTGCTCGGCTATCTGCGTGGACAAACACAGCTGCACATGCTTGCATATTGTGTGCTACTTGTGTGCATGCACCGCTCATAGCATGCACACACCACACACACAAAACACTGTGCAGAAATACTCTATTCACAAATACAGCCAGGGTGGGGCCTGGATTCACATTATCATAAACCCTTCCATCCAGAAACTAGTGAGCAATGTAGGGCGTGGCTTGTTGCGATGACCCTGATAGGACACATCCCAGATCCTCAGCCACTAAATGGCAGTAACGCCTTTCTTTGCCTAGTCTAGGGACTAAACGCCACATTTTCCTTGGGACGGTAGCCAGGGCTTACCCTACACTCCTAATGATCAGGTCTGAGATTCCATTACAGCTCTGCTGTGTGGCCCTGCTCACATTACTGAGCCTCTCCACCTGCTGTCCAGCCTGAGTTGTTTTGTATCTTCATTCCTTGCTTACAGGGAGGATGAGAACATTGAGCGGAAAGCTCTTACAAGAGAACTTTTTAATGGGACAGAGATCTTGTTATTATTCTTTGTCCAGATGACTTGCCGTAAGCCTAAACAGTATGTCCTTCGGATTAATGAGTATATAAAGGCATAAGATGCTATCCTTCCTGCCTTTCCTTTCCCTTGTCCCCTGTTCTCCTCCCGGCCTCTCTTTCATATGCACACACTACTAAAAATACCTACTACTCTCAAAGGATTTCCTTTCATTGTCAATAAAGCCCTTATCATCACAGCTTCAAATATTTAAAGCGTTGTTATTCTCAACAAAAACAGTCAAGGACAGTAGAAACTAGTCATTTCGTTATTTTACCCCATGAAAAGAAACAGGTCAGAGCCTGGCAGTGTGGATAACTATGATGAAACAGTAAGTTCAGGACACAACAATGCCATTAGTCGTACAGATTAATTCAGCAGTTGAGACCTGCACAGGATTAAGCCAGACAGACAAAAAAAAAAAAAAAAAAAAAAAAATTGTGCATGCAGTGAAGAGGTGATCGTGAAATGCCACCTCTAACTTATGAGGACATTAGTAATTGATGGCTCCTAAGAGACAGGGAACCAGTTTCTTTCAAAGATGCAACCACTGATCCAATCCATGGCTCTCCGCCAGTGTGTGCGCTGCCGGTGCTGAGCGTGGAAAAAAAAAAAGACACATGAGTTTGGGAGGGAATAGTAGAAGGAAAATGGAGTGAGTGTTACCTCTTAAGGAGACCCAGAGCATGTGCAGGTGGTTTCAAGTGGTCTGTAGGTGGCCTCACAAATGCCTGATATCCTGTTTGTCAGGTCCCTTGGGGCTGGCCATAGAGATACCTCCTTACAGATCCTAACAGTGAGGACTTGAGCAAAGCATGCTGTATGCATGCGTAAAATTCTTGAATCGTTTTTAAAAAGCAGTAGGTAGAAAACAAAACAATTTTCATATCATAAAACAAAATTTTCCAGGTCAGGGAAATGTATTAGAGTGTTCTTACCCCAGTATAATGAATAGCACTTAGAATAATGTCTTTTAGGTTTTTATGTTCACTAATAATTTCATTTTATTATTATGATTATTGTGGATTTTTATGAGACCACCAGCTCCACCTGCTGCCTTTGAACCACAGATACAGTTGCTTCCCTACGTCAAAGGCACATTTTCTGAGGTGTGACTGTCAGAGTGAAGGTAGCTTGGTGTGGTCACACCAGCAACTGCGCACCATTAAGCCCCTCGACATCAAGACATTTAAAAAAAGTACAGTCTCCCTTCGGCTAACTCCATCTTCCAGGGGTCATAAAATCACCGTACATGTTTGTGATGGGTAATGAAATAGAAAGTGTAAATGTCATTGTTGAAATAAACGGGCCATTCAGTAAATGTAGTCTTATGGTGTGAGGAGTTTCTGAAGTATATTTTTTAAACTAATTGGCCCTGGCTGCAATAGAAAGATAAGGTGTTATTATTTTCATTTTCCCACTGTTTGCTCACAGTCACACACTTTGTTGATGCTGGGCCTGTGTTTCATCACTACCAACAGCCCCACCCACCCACCGTTAGACCATACAGCACATATCTTCACGGGCAACGTCAGGGCCACTTTAGCCTCTTAATGTGTCTGAGTCTCTTAATGTGCTCAGAAACACAAATATGCTCTTGTTTTATGAAGACAGCCTACTGTCCCTCTGTTCCCTGCTACCATTCATGCCAGGGTGTGCCCTTCAGAAAGGATTTGGGATTTGTGGCCGCCACTGGGTGCTTGGCCTGTGAGCCTCTGTAAGCTATACAGTTGAAACTACTGGTCCCCCAGGTCCTCATCAAACTCACCTTGGCTCCCCTCTGCTGCTGAGCTCACATTTTTTTCTGACTTTTACACTTGCCAGACCTGACCCAGGGGACTTACCCTCCCTTGACTTCATCTGCCCTCAGCCACTTGTTAATCCTAAAGGCTTGGTGGCCCTCTCCCTTCCTCATTTCTTCAAAAACCAGAATTAGCTCGGGGGAAGGGATTTCTGACAATGAGCAACACCTTGGGAATGCTGAGCAGTGCTGAACCATGGCAGGATTACTGCATTCAGGCGTTGTTTTCTTTGGATCCATCCCAGAATGCATACAAAGGAACAGTTGTGACTGTCAGCAAATATGAAGGGAAATGGTCTCATTTCACACAATTCTGTCGAATGGCATCTGTGCAGAGGAAACCAGCCATTTAAAAGGAGATGTGGGGAGAGCCTATGGGTTACCTGTTCTACCCTCAAACTAAGAAGGAATTTGCTTCGATAACTGGCACATGATGTGGCAAAGCTTTGCTCTCCCGATAAACTCATATTTGCATTTCCTCTGGCAATTGAATAATCCTTTTGTAGTTAATTAACTGTAAAAGAAGATAAGATTGGATAGTTGTAGGGGGTGTCTTTAAGGTTTACCACTGGGCCGGGTGTTAATCTATTTTATTTCTAATCAAAAGCCAAGAAACCATCTCTAACCTAGCTCAGAGGAAAGTCCACCTTCCCCAGCCCTCTTCTTTGATGCTATGGCACATCCTGGAGAGAGCTTTTAAGAAAAAACTAAGGAAATACGTTGGCACATCTGTGGCACTAAGCCTTCTGAAGTGGGGCCCCTCCCATCCCTGATGCCCAGGATTAGCCCCAGAAGGTTCTATTTCCAACTGCTCCTTTTCATAACTTGTTTATTGCACATGCTTCTCTCTGCTCTGTGTCTCCGGAAGCCACGACTTAACCATCTTGATTTGTCTCATTTGCTCTGTCTCTTGCTTCCTGCACCAGTTGAGCCGGTTGATGCCCGCCCTGCTGCTGACCGAGGACTGACCACTCGACCAGGTATCTGACTCGCCCTCTTCTGCTTCTCCTCTTACCACTTTGCGCTTCAGCAAACTCACCTCTCTGGATTGCACGTGTTTTAGAAAGAATTTTGAAAGACTGTAGGCACCACACTTTATTTCAAATTCTTTGCTTCACCTTAGGCTTCATTTCCAAGTTCCTACATGATCTGTTTTTGTTTGTTTGTTTGCTTGTTTGTTTCTGAGCTTTGCTTGTTTGTTTCTGAGCTTTTCTTTTTCTTGAAACCCAATGAGTCTTTTCATATGTGAGGTTCTTTTTATTGATTTCTTTCTTTTAATAAATGGAGAGTATTATACGAACCCTGTCCTCAAAGAAAGAGGCCCCAAGTGGGGAATTGGTTCTTACTACAGGAATTTCCTTCCTTTCTTGTTTAGTATTTATGGGGGTCCCTGAGTGGGCTCAGACTTTTTGTTGGTTACTAAAATAGCCACCGTTCCCTGAAAATACCATAGTTGGTATTTCTCCAGATCCAGAAATACGTTTTGTCCTTTCTGGATTGTATATACTTATTCTCAGCCAGTGGCTAAAATAACCCAACAGATGTATATGCATAATTTTGCATAAAAGCCCTTTGTTTTTTATATTACAAATTTCTTCACTATCAAAATAGATATTTCTTTTTGTAGAGTTTCCTAAGATTAAAAAGAAATGTGTTTGACCCCTATTCTATGTTTAGTTTCAAGCTAAGCATAGTCTTAAGAATAATGTCACAGCATGAGAGACATAGAACACACCTGTGTCTACTCCTTGCACAGCCTTACCATACTGATAGTGGCTAACAACATGAATCAGAAAAAGGAAAGCTGATGAACTGAAAGATCTGTTTATTCTGGAGAGATTTTCTTCCAAATAGCACCTGCCTTCCTACATTTCATGAGATAGTCAAGAACAATGTCAACCTTCCTTGGGGACATCAGCAGAGAGAGGCAAGCTTTGCTTCCTGGTTCAGGTGTATCCCCAGCCAGAACAGACATGGCCCTGCCCTTCTTGCCATTCAAGTTTCTAGCCTTGGCTACTGCCAGCCATAGTCATAAGTAATGACTTAAAGTGTTCTTAAGGTATCATTGTAATTTCATGCTGAGTTTTAACACGTGAGCAGAAACTGGAGTGACATACTGACAGGTGGTCTCATTGATCTGATGAACCTCTTTTCTGAAGTGCTTCTAAAGGGACCTTGAATTATAGTAAGTTAGGGCTTACCTAATGTCCTCCTTACTGTCAGTGTCACTAACTAAATTTCAGGGAGCCAGCAGTTGGCATTCCCATTCTGCTCCACCAGCTGGTGAAGCCCATGGCAGAGGCTAGTACAGTTTTCACCACAGCTAAAACCAGATCAAGCTGGTCTTCTAGACTTTTTAAGATGGCAGCGTTCAGTCTGTTTTTAAAAGATGACATATTTTTCATCTATAAACATAAAATACAATATTGAGGTGCATACATCCAGCTGATTTTTTTTCAGCTGATTTTATTAAGTTCCCATACTGTAAAGATATACTTGTTTCTGTTCTAATAGCTAGACATGAACACCAGCCAATACATTTTTTCACTTCATTTCAACTTAAAATGTAAAAGGCATTGTCATCACTGGCAAGCAAAAGTAATCTGTATTGAGAGAAAATCTAATGGTATTCTGTAGGCCACGGAAAGCCATCTAAAGTCTTCACTGTAATAACAGCAGTATTATTCCATGAGGGATCAATGTAATAAATTCTGTGAAGACTCAGAAACAATAAATGATACGGTCTCTGCTCCCGGGAGCCTGGAATATAATGCAAAACAAACAAAAACCCATACTTTGCATATGTAGGAAGACTGGAGGACAGAGATATATGAAGGGACACAGGATGTTTTGTGAGAAGAGCAGAAGGGAGTGTAAGATTTAAGGCACGTGGAGGGGCAAGAAGGAAAACAATTCCATGCAGATCAGAAAATGCATGACCCACATCCAACTCCTTCAGCAGACAGCCACGGAAGAGAAAGATGGTATGCATTGGGTATGAGGAAGAATCCAGATACGCTGCAGTTATGAACATGGAACTTGCCTGAAGTGTCTGAGTTGTTGTGTAGGCTCTATCTGTACTTTTGTGTTTGCAATGAGTCTGCCAAGAATTTAGATTAGTAGCTCCCTGTGTTGTCCACGTTGGATTAACACCTCCCTATACTGCCTATATGTTTTGATATCTCCACAGCCATGTTTTATGAAACCACACACTTGACCCTACCAAATTGCAGACTTTACAAACTTAGAAATAGCCTTTCCAGGATTGCCCTATGCCAATGATTTTTAATATTTTTTGTTACTCAAAAACAAATAAAAGCGACGGAGTGAGTTTTGGTTTACCCTTCCCCATAACCCATTGTTGCATAATCACAATAAAGAGAATGATTTCTTCTCTTTCACATCTGCAAAACCAGCTACAGCTTTTGGGATGTAATGTCACCCTAAGCCACAGAAGTAATGATGCTGAATTCTGGGCATAGTGACCATCACAGCTACTTATTCTTCCTGGAATGTTTCCAGGGGAAAACAGACTCTGAAAAACAATAAGAAAACACATTAGCAGGCTCTTCATTTGCTTGATTAAGCTACCCTTCCATTATAACCCATCCCTGTCCTTCTCCAGGTCATACAACTAACAGTCTAGTTGTATGACCCCCCCCAAGAGATAGTTTCCCATTGATTTGTTTTATTGTTCTATGGTTTTGTTAATCTCTTTGTAATGATACTGCTTGGTGTATAGAATATCTTCTAAATGCTATTACATGATAAACATAAATAAAACAGGAACTTTTATGCTGAGTCTTACACTATTAGCAGTGAACATTGTTAGTCATATTAGCATGTTACATGAACTTGACTTTTGCCTTTTCAGTCATCAGAAACAGTTTCAGTATCCTTTCAATATCATCACAGCTTACAAAGTTTTGAGTGGACAGCTCATTATTTATATATTCATTGCAATGCTGTGCACTCTGCCCCACCCACCCCAATCTTCCCTCCCCCGATTCCCCATATAAAAGGAAAGACTATTTGAGTACTCCTTAAAAGCTCAGAAATAAAGTTTTAACTATTATTGCATTACTACTTGCATATGGCGGGGAAAGAACGCATTAGAAAGGAATCACTGTTGTTTTAACGAGGAAGTAGCTCAGGTTTTTAAAGGCTTATAGGAAGATGAGACTATGCAGCCAGTGACAATTTAAAGAGCATTTGTGTCACTGCCACATAAAAAATAGTGTCAGGAAGAGCAGAGAACAGTGTGAGTTGTATTATGGAAAAAATAATTTTTAAAATACATAAAAATAGAATGTTGCAGTTCATCAGGTAGGGTTGGAGAACAAGGTCCCTGAAAACAAGCAGAGTTAGTGAGATGAAACAGAAAGGGGATTGCACAGCTTTCATTCTGTCTTTCTTGTCCATATTGATAAAAATGATCATTGATGAAAGAAAATTAAACTTCAAATAGAACAAGGTGAGAAAGGAAAGCACCAAGCCTTTGTATTTGTTACCTATTGCTGTGTAACAAGTAGTCCCAGCATTTAACAGCTTATAAGAGCAAGCATTTAGCTTCTTATGGTTGCTCTGAGCTACCATTTTAGCATAGGCAGAAGTGGCTGGTCCTGGCTCAGGCTCTTTCATGAGATCACAATGCAGACATTGCCAAAGCTGCAGTCTTGTGAAGATCTGGCTGGGGCTGACAGAGATCAAGCACTCTCATGGCTGTTGTCAGGAGCCTTCAATACCTTACCGTGGCAGCTGGCTTCCCCCAAACAAACAAGAAGTACAATGGAGGGAAGAAGAAAGAAGCTTTGGTGCCTTTTATAACCAGCCTTGGCGTCAGGTCTGCCATGTTCCACTTATATAGACTCTCCTGCTCCACAGGAGGGAATTTGAAGTCCTATTTCTTGAAATTATTATGAATAATGAACATGTGTGTTAAATAGTCACATCGATAGCTGAGTGCAGCTCCTTTCAAAAAGAAGCCAAGAAAACTTGAGGAGGAAATAGAACAACTTTGGCTAGTCGTGAGAGTTAGGGCAGAAGATTAGGAAAGAATGGTTGGAACGAATAGTGAAGTGTGATCCAGAGGCAGAAGGGAGGGAGGATAGCCTCACAGCTGTGAGCAGGGTGGGTTATCCGATAGGAACAATGTGAGCAGTGATGGACTGCCTAGGTCTGTGGGATTACCCTCACTCTCTCAGCAGAGCCCATGCTAACTATGAGGCTGGCCCACAATGCTGTGGGCATTGTGCTTTTCAGTATCAGCAGGGGGTGACAAGTTTTACAATAGCTGATGGACAAGATTGGAAGAGCCATTAGACCAAGAACAAGAGATGAGTTCCCAAGGGAGTTGCAGGAACTCAGAATGTGTAGCCTGAGGAAGAGAGGAATCCTTGGGAGCACACTGCTTTTCCTTTAGTGACACGCTTGCTTAAAACTGCCATGTCAAGAATAGACACCTGGCTTGATCTGAATGAAACAAGGCTGCACAGGGTAGGTTATAGGGAAACTGTTGGATTACTCTACAGGAAAGAAAGGCATTCTTTCTAGTGTGAAAAACCAACAGGGGCCTGCTGATCTCACCATCTGAATTCACCTCCATGCTAAGAACTTGCCTCCATTGGGAACGTCATGGAGGAGACGACTTTAAAAGCCCTTCTTACCCTCGGCTTCCCCTTCAGTAGTTAAATACTACAACATGCAGACTCATATCTTTCCTGTGTGTTTTCACTTTAATTTCTAAAACATATTTACATGTTAGCTTTAAGCCTCAAGTTATTATTTGAATCATGAAATGCTGTTAAGAACTGGTCCAGGAATCATGCAGCCATGTATAGAGAAGGAAGAATTAGGTGATAAATTCTGTTAGTCCCAGTGAGCCTTTTGCTCCTTGTATGCTACTTCTTTGTAGTCAGCAGATGAAGTGAGTCCACGTGGTGTGTAAACTAGAGAGTGAGGGTGCTGAGCTAAACAAATTACGTGACCGACAGTGCTCCTGTGCACGGAAACATGGACATAATTTATTTGTAATTAGAACAAAGCTCCAAAATGACGGTTTTGTTCTCCCAGGTCATCAATGTTCATTTTCAAAGCTTTGCTTCTTTTTTTAAGTAATTACAGCTCATAAAAAAATGTACACATAATAAACAATCAGCCGCTAAAACCAAGTCACCATTTCCTAGGTACAAATTTAACCCAGCATCCCAACCAGCACTGATTTTTTTTTTCCCTTCCTTCCCTTCCCTTTTAATGTCAGCATGTGTTTGTTTGGCTGTAGAAACATTACATTCACCTTTCTTCAGTCTTTTCGCTCGATAGGCAGTGGTAATGGTTTAAATCTAGGATGTCATTTTTTTCTTGAGGAAACTCCTTAATCTGTTTTCTTAGTACTGGCCTAGAGAAAAATTTTAGGCAGCCTCTGCCTCATCGTGAAACTGATTGGAGCTAAAACATACGTCCCACATACACTGTGTTTAATGCAGGTTCTGGGCTGACAAACATCAAGACAGAAGAGATCTCTGAGGTGAAGATGGATGCAGAGTTCGGGCACGATTCAGGATTTGAAGTCCGTCATCAAAAACTGGTACGCAAAATACTCTACTTCTCCCCGAGACTGTGTGCCCAGATGACAAATGTGGTAACGCTTGGCTTGTCTAATGCCAAAACTGAGAGGGAAAGCTGAAAACAAAGCCCCAATGCTTGCCTAGGTCATCACAAAGATATGAGAAAAAGTTAGTTGGGCTCTGAGTGCCACTCTCTATCGCCAGAAGCAGCTGAGCCCTGGTGGAACTTAAAAGTATAATTAATTTCAGCCACGTAAGCTGACGTCCATGTTCTATGCTTCCTAACAAAATGGGTATTTCAGTACCAGTACCTCATGGTACTAAGTTCTGAAAAGTATTGTATAAAATCCTCTTTAGACTATGTGAAATATGCATAGGAAAAGTATGTTTTGTTTAGATTTGGTTCCAATTTCTAAGATAATCTCACTATGTAAATAAAAAAATTACAGAATTAAGATTTTTTTTTTTTCTAACCGTTCTGGTCAGAACCATTCTCCATCTATTATAGGTTTTGTTTTCTTTTCTTTTGTTTTATTTTGTTTTAAGAATCAGAGTCTCAACTAAACATCCTTGGTTCTAAGGAACCTTTTTTATGGCATTTGCTTAAAGTTCCCATCTGCAAGGAGGTTCTTTCAGTCCTCTGTCCTTCCTTCCTCCTTCCCGCTCCTTCCCTACCCCCCAGCATTTCTTTGCCTTACAAGGGAGTGATAGTGGGGTCCCTGTTAAGGCAGGTGGAGGCAAGAGGTGACTGTGACTCCTCAACTTCCCATTCGTGTCAGTCAAAAACCGTGGGCAAAGAAGATAGCAGTTTCTCTTAAGATGATGGTGTTTTTCTTCCTAACGTTAGAACTAGAGTGAACAGAAAAGCAAGTGTCTTCTTTATAGGTAGGCAGAGATTATATAACTCTTTATGGAAAAGCTCAGGAATTCGAGTAAGCCAAATCCCAGATTGTTAGAGTTCCTTCCATGGTCTCAGTTATCTCCATAAAGGACATAAATGATGAGCAAAAGGTGGTACTCCTGTATGGTGATGCTTAGTAATTACTCCAGCACTGTTGTTAGATGGAGTACCCGTGTCCTTTATGGGTTCTAAATGTCTTTTCAGTGTTTATAAATAAAGTGTATACATCCTCATATGAATCTGCTGAAGAAAAAGGCCTTCTTTACTGTTTGACTTCTCATCTCTGAATTATTGTAACAAATCTAAAGCTGGCTTGGGATTTTTTTCTTTTTTTTTTTTTTTTTTCTGGAGAAAGGCACCCAGAAAGGCCACCTTCTGAAGTGCAGCTTTCATTAGCAAGTTTATGGCTGTGTTGGATACTGTGAAATCAGAGGTGCCTCTGATCAGGCTAAAGCTGCAAGGTTTAAAAATGAAACTGGGGTAACTGCTGAAGGGCTGGGGTGTGGAGTAGAGAGCTGAGGACGAATGCGCAGAATCTCAATTTCCTGAGCTGCTGTCACAGACGCCCTTCTCAGTAATTACACGAACTCCTGTAATGCGACAGTGACTAATGGCAGCGGCAGCAATTAAGGGCATCAGCTCCCTCTACTGTGCTAGCTGATAAGATAATGTACTGTAATTAGTGCAATGAATATTACAGAATTACAGTATTTCCTTAAAGACATAGGGTATGTCCAGACTCACATTTATTCCTGATTACTGCACTGTAGTATCATTAGCTAATTAATGATTTCCTTTAATAAATATGTTGAGCAAGCATATTTGTTTGCCAAGGGGATTAATTATGAACCATTTCTAATTTTGTTGCAGATGCACCGTGAGTAACATCCGCTCAGAATTTTTTTATCTGCTCTAGTTTACTTCATCTTTGCAAACTGCAGCAGTGATAGATTTAGTGATGAAAATCAGTCCTTCCCTTATTTATTTTAAAGCAGCATTGAAAGAATTATTTAGGGAGATGTTTTCACTAACTTACGTAACAGATGGGTATATGGTTAGGAACAGCTTCCCCTCCCCCATTTTAAATCCACCATAAGATCATCTCTTATATAACAAGATGATTAAAGGGCATTCTGCATGTGTTATTCCACCTAAATAGATAAAGCTGAAAAATGATGGTGCTTTTGTAAAGAGCATATATACCTTGCAGAGAATTTATCACAGTGAATAAATTTCTTCTTTGTGATGTTCTCAGAAGTCTTGTTTAATATGAACAACCAGAAAAAAACAGTATTGTCTGTTTGGGTTTCCAAAGACAAATATAATAAAGTCTGAGTTGACACTAATATCCTCCTTGCCTACTTCTGCTTCCCTTCAAAAACATGGTGCTTTTAAAGTAGAGTTTGCATTTCAGGGTTAATTGAATCTGACTGAGGTAGATAACTGGGCTGTCCTTTTCTCTCTGATTAACTCGATACACAGAGAATTCGTCCCTTCAAAGAAATGGAAACATACAGGTTTGAAGCCTAGCTAAAGCCGAGCCACCTGCTGTGGGCAGGAAAGTGCTCACCTGTATCCAGGGCCGTGATGGCAGCTCTGTGACTCTCAGCAAATGCTCATCTGTCCAAGGATCTCAGGTCCCTGCTGACTTCTGTTCTGAGATGTGCTGGAGAGATTGACTCGGAACTGGGAAGCCGTGTGTTGCTCACTGCTCTGAATTGTAGGATGCTCGTTTGTAGGGACCCACCAAGTCACACTCACTGAGCCATGGCAGAGGGTCCACTGAAACCTTACTGCAGCCACTGTCGCCTGCACTTACAGTCCTTTTTCTTGGCTTGTTTTCAAGGTGTTCTTTGCAGAAGATGTGGGTTCAAACAAAGGTGCCATTATTGGACTCATGGTGGGCGGCGTTGTCATAGCAACAGTGATTGTCATCACTTTGGTGATGCTGAAGAAGAAGCAGTACACATCCATCCATCATGGCGTGGTGGAGGTAAGTAAACATGGAGGCTTGTCAGCTACTGAGAGCCAAAGGAGGGAAGAGCAGGCAGGGAAACACACTGAACACTGTCCTGAGGGCTACCTGGGAAAAAAACAGTGTCCCTCCATGGTGCTCAGCTCACAGCTATTTTCTTGCTATGGTTTTCTTCCACTCTGGGTTACTGTGAATTTAATGAACATTATATGTGGTTACTTTAACTTACAATTTGTATTAAAATTAACCAAAATAAGGCTAATTATAATGCTCAGCTGAAAAGGAAAAAATACGCTCTCTCATAAATACAAAAAAGTATAAAATGTCAGAAATGAAAAGAGTAGGGTGTTGGCTTTTTGGAAAAAATAATAATAAAACCTGGACATTCATGTCTAGTTTGTTTTGTTTTGTTTTGTTTTGTTTTGTTTTGTTTTGTTTTGTTTGGACCCTTCAGTAATCTGGCCCATGAATAGAACCAGGTAATGATAAATAATACTAATTTTCAATAATGACTCCAACCATGAGTGTCTTGGAAAGGACACTGTAGCAAATTACTCAGTATAACATGTGTGATTGCCACTGAGGTGCAGTTCAAGCTATTACCCTGAACTTCCATCTGAACAAAAATCCTAGTTTCAAAGTGTTAAGAGAGAAGCATTTGGGCTGGAAAGAAGGTATACATGAACCCCCACACCGCATATGTGCTGCACTTAGCTTGTTCTGGCACAGACCCGCCAAGCAGGGATGCTTAGCACAGAGATCTGCATTCTGCCATCAAAAGTATACGGGGAGAAAGAGCGAAAGGAGAGAGGTTCACACACAAGGTCTTTCTATGCATTTGATGTACGCTTGTTACGCTTGTAATGGTGGAGGGGTTTTAAGCAGCACTGTGGGCATAGGCTTTAGATGGTGGGTTAGCAGTGTAGACATTCTAGAACTGAAAGAGCTCAGAGTCCAAACTGATCTTGTTTTGTAGATGAGAGCAGTGGATCAAATCAAAAGATTTGCACAGCACCAAACTGAATATAGCTCCCATACTACCTGTTGCTTTCCATCAGAGGCCAGTGTTAAGCATCTCACGAAACTCAGAGAAAGTGCTCCAGGCTGTCCACAATCATGGGATCATGGGGGGGGGGGTAGGGGTGATTCTCACAAACTCAAGTGAGGGCAAGCCAGAAATCTCACCTTCATCAGTCCTTAGCATCTCCACAAACAGCTTGTTCACGGCGATGCTCGTGGGAATTGTGGGTTTTACATTCCTGTTTCTGTTGATATGGATATTCTAAAGACCTGTGTGTTGGATGAGGCCCAGGAAACTGTGGCAGCAAGAGGAGAGTGAACTGAATATTTCATAAACTAGAGTATAAATACATTTTTGTTTGTTTGTTTTTTAAAGAAATGACTCCGAGGCTGAAGACATACTTGGGTAATGAAGTGCTGGCCACACAAACAAGGATCTGTGTTTGGGTCTGTAGCACCCACACAAAACCGCAGGCAAAGCAGTGAATGCCTGAGAGGCCAGCACTGGGGGAACAGAAACAGGTGACTCCTGAGAGTTGGCTAGAATTGACAAGCTGCAGGTTCAGCAAGAGACCCTGTCTCAAAAAATAAGGCGGAGAGCATTGAGGAAAATACCTGACCTCTACGTCTGGCCTTCACATGCATGTACACAGGTTACCCAAGCATGTGCACACAAGCACAGACACCAAAATTGGGGTTTTGCTCTTTCCATACGTGTACCTAAACTTTGTTCTTCAAACACTGTAAAACATTATTTTCGATGCATCTTTCTCCAGTTTCTTAACCACTGAGCCATCTCTCCAGCCCCTTTCTCCAGTTTCTAATGAAATCTGGTTTGGGTTGATTTGTTTTGTTTTGTTTTTAACTTCAATCCCCTATTTGCATAGGTGAATAATTCAAAAGCTCCTTTGAATGTTATTAATAGAATTCTGTTTAAATGATCTTAAATTGGTGTCCAAGATGGGGCTTCCTGTCTGAAAAATATCTGTTAAGTGCCCATCTTGATGCCACAGCTAGAGCCTGTCTCTGCTTGCTGAGGCTCCTAGAGAGACTACCACAGTCAAGTGGTCGACACAACAAAAATGCATTTTCCTGCCAGTGATGGAGATTAGAAGTCTGCGATCACGCTGTGAGCAACACTAGTTTCATCTGATGCTTCTCTCCCTAGTTTGTAAACATCTCTCTTCCTCCAAGGGCTTCATCTGTTTTCCATGGGTCTTGATCCCCCCCAGTCTAAGAATACCAGTCATAACTTGGCCACAATCTACCCTCATGACCTCATTAAGTGGCTTCTCTTACATCCCCTCCTCTATGTAGCCACAATCTGAAGACTTCAGCGTGGATTTGATAAGGACATAATGATGCCCAGCACTTTTTTATGCTGAGGGAAAAAAGTGATGCTTCTACCAGGACTCCGTTTCCGCTGAAACATGGAAGTTTCCCCAAGGTTTCAGCACCAATGCTGATTCCTTCGAGTTACTCTTCAAGCAGGCCTTGTGGAAAAGAAAACAATACCCCTTACCTCCAGGAAAACTAAGTGTCCTCTTAAGGCAGCCTGGGCCAAGTGTTTGTTTTGGTTGGTTACCAAGAGATGCCTCTTCAGAATGACAGGAAAAGTGGTTAACATATTGACCAGATTGTAAAGAACAAGAAATTAATCTCTAAGCCAGGGCCCTCTTGCTGCTCAGTGTATCAGAGTGGCATCTTCTTGGGCACTTAAAAATGGTCTGGATTTTCACTTGATTCCCTCTAGACTCATTTTGTCCTAGAGAAGGATGCTGAGGAGAGTCTGAAATCTCCCTCTTTCCCCTTTTATAGCCTGTGTTTCTGACCATGCCAACCCTTTGTCCAGCTCTGTATTAAGTCTGCATTTGGCCAGAGGGTTGAAATGGAACTTGCAGTGCTGTCCCCATCCTTTGCCCTTGGGGAGGTGTCATTTAGCGGAAGTGGTAGAACTAGGCCACCGAGAGCTGCTCAGCGTGGGGTATCGTGGTGAGGCACTGCTGTGGCTTTAGAGAGCTCTTTCCCCTTTAGTGCCTTGAGTATACACTGGATGGATGTGATCTTCCCCTACCTAACTTAAAAGGGCTGCCCACGCTCAGTCAATGTCTCCACAACCACAGGTTGAGACCACACAGATCAAAACTATTTAGAGAAAATAATGTGTCTGAGCACGAATAGATCATTCCATAAATAATTGCTATAACAGCCATTTGCATTTAGATTGTATTTGGAATTGTAAGTCATCAATGAGGGTTCCTAGAGTATAAAGGAGAATGTGTGTACATCATATGCAAGCATGCTTTATTAGGTAAGGAACTTGAGTATCCTTCATCTGTGGCTTTGGAGCCTATCTCCTGTACGTGCTAAAAAACCCTGCACATGGAAACTTTATTTCCAGCTCTGAAATAATGAATGAGTAGACCTGCCTTGCTAGCAAGAAAAAGGAAAAATGAATGTGTTCAGTGTCCTGGACACTCAAGACAACACCTTTGTATTTCATACCACCTGGGCATGATGGGACAGTGTATCTCCTGAGCCTCTCTTGTTCTTACAACAAAAAACTCCCATGGGTCAGAGAGAGAGCAAGCCTAGGAAAACTGTGGAGGGAAATGTGGACATGCAAACAAGCCTAGTGTTGATATAGTAGATAGCCATCAGAAATGAGCAGTTGTTTTAGTTTTTCAAAACTAAGAAATATATATTGAATTTATGATTTGCTTAGCATGATGCCAGAGATTCATTCTGCCAGGCATGTTTCCTAATTTGGTAGCTGACACTAACGGTGATGTCGTGGCCCTTGGGTATCGTGCTTCCTGAATATGTCCAGAATTTCGGTCTGTTGCTAGTGGCAAGGCATCTTCATGCCAGCTCCGTTACCACTACTGCTCCTGCATTGGATGGTTCTGCATTGACATTCATTGACAGGGATGGTGAACTGTATGTATGTACCATAGATCTTCAGTTCCCACAAGGAGACACTTCATCTTCAATAAGAAGTCACACCGTCTCTTTATTATGGGATGTAAAGGAAGTCTGCCATCCCCAGCTTTAAGGAGGATACCAACACTTCTGGCCCCATATCCCAGTCATTTTCTTAAGGACCCAAATAAGAAAAGTTGCTTTTTTAGCTTTTTATGGAATCCTAGCCTGTGACCTCTCTTCTGAGGAATGTTATCATACTGGTGATATCACAAAAGCATAGCCTTAGACATCCCTGCTTCCGGGAGAGATGGGTACACTGACACAGTATGGTGTGCCATGTCAGTCAGAGAGATGAGGTTAGATAGAAGCAAACTGCTGCTCTATAGGTGGCTTCCAGACAACAGCAAGAGGAGAAACTGGAAAGGCAAAAGAAAGCATCCACGATTATGATTTAGTGCTAAGCAAAGGGATTCTGAGCCCACCTGCAGAATTACTTAGCATTGGCCAGGAATATACCTAAACTGCCTGCCTACACAGAGATGGAATCATAATTACAAAATGAGCAGGTTTCAGTATTGAACAGAAAATCAGCACTGGGAAGGATGGAAAGGGACCTAGCATAAGTATAAGAGTCCTCTTGGTGGGGGGCAGAGGGTGAAGTTAGAGATGGAGTGCTGGCATGCTCTGGGTTCCATCCTCAGCACTTTGATTTTGCTTGTTTCTTAAAGCTGTTTGTGCTGACTGGGCTCAGCTCTTTACAGTGTCTTCATCTCCATCATCTCCATCTCTAATGGCCAGTTGAAGCTACGTGCTGTGTTGTGCAAAGCCTTGGGAGTCCTAAAGACAGAGTCCTATACCCAAAGCCAGGCCAGCTGCTGATCAATTCCTCTACTGTTCAGTCCAGACAACAGGGGAGAAAATATTCAGAAATGGGATGCCTGTGTATTCTTCTCCAACAAAGGGATGTTCCTCCTCCCAGAAGAGAGTAGATTCTGTCCCCTATTCCATGGTGTTCCATCATTCCTACCAGCAGCTCAAGCTGCTCCAGCTCAGCTGTGTATTAGGGCCTCCTGAGAGCTGGCTGCTGCCCTGTCTCCAGGCACAGACCTCATGGTAGCTTTGAGGGCCCTCCAATAAGGAAGGTTCACCCTCGCTCTTTATTTAGCTGGAGGTTCCTCCCCAAACAGGAATATTCGCTTCCACCACTCAGGAAGATTGGGGATTAAAAGGTGCCATTTAGACTCCTGTCCTCAGGTGCCGGTCATAAAAGCAATCCTCTCAGGAGCTCAGAGCCCAGTGAACACTGAGGACCAAACCGCCCCATCGCAGGAGTCCTGAAACCCTCCGCTCCCCAGCAGCAAAGGGCATCAAGGATTAGCGTGTAAAGCCAGCCAAGAAAAGAGAGGGAACTGAGATGCCAGGACTGAGTCAGCTCTCTGAGCCTCGGATCTCTGGTGGAGCTCCCTTGAGCCTTTGTTTTGGAGTGTGCGGAAAGAAAACTAAATAACAGTATTAAACAGGCGGATGTTCCTGTTCTTGGAAAATGCCAATGACTGTTGACCGGCAGCGTGAGGGTGGCTGCTCCTCCCTGAGGTGTGCGTTCTAACACGCACCTGTGTGTATTTCTCTATACTAAGAAACAGCGCTTCGTGCTTGATCTCCAAAGCAAGATTTTTTTTTTAATTCCTATATTTGAAATCTCAATTCTAGGGTAACACAGAGGGGCCAATGTCCGGGTTCACGTGGCACATGAATGCAGACTCTGGTCCCCAGCATGCAAACTAGGGAGAGTGACCGAATCCTATCCCTTCGGGAGTTAATCTGTAGAGAGAAGGCAGTTTGGCTTACAAGCCTGTGACCAATTACACAATTGCCAATTAAGTCGAGGTGACCTCATTTGTTGACAGCAGTGCAGATCACAGGAAACAGGGGGAGATGGAAAAAAACACCTGTGTGCTTCTCCCAAAGGGCAGTGGTGCTGGGCATCCATTTGAGCAGTGTTCTCTGAGTGCCAGCTCTTAGGTAACACATGCGGTAGGAGGAGGCACCCAGGCTCATCACTGGAATAGCCCGGACACAGGGCAGCAGCCAGCTCTCAGGAGGGAAGATAGCGAGGGCTCCCATCTACATACACACCTCCGGAAGACAGGAGGAGTCAGGGCCAATAATCTGAAGGAATAGTCCTATGACCCGAGAGAAAGACAGCTCCCATTCCCACTGCAGGGTGATTGTGTCATTTTTAGCCTGGGCAGTCTGTCTCCTGCCCAGGAGTGGCCACGAAGGAATTTATATCCATAAGGCTCTCCATCTGAGTTGCTTCTTAGGTGGACTAGTCATCACGTATGTGCAGGTCTGTGCGGACACCTGGTAGCTCAGCACTTGACACCGTATGCTCTCTAGCTTTTTTTTTTTTTTTTTTTTCCTGCACTGGGTTTAAGAACCACCACTGCAGTGACACACCATGCAGGGTCCAAACTGCCACACTGCCAGTATCAGAGGTGGGGGGGGGGGGACCCACAGGGTAAATTGCCAGGTATCACTTGGCAATGCTCCGCAATGGGAAATGGGGTCCTGCTGAAAATGAGGCTGCAAGCTCAGTTCAGCCCTGTGCAGAATAAGAAATATCCCTTTGAAATTAAACTCACGGAATACACCTCAACTTTTCTGCAAGCATGCTTTATTCTGTGTGCATTTGAACAGATTCTCTTCATCTTCCAATAGTCTCATGGAGGCTGAGCTCCTTTTAATTCAGCAGACTTAAGCAAGCACCTCCTCGTCTCAGTGGGAGAGGTAGTGCAAATATAGAAACAGAAAGAACCATTAGCTACTGTAAAGACATAAGTGCACCATGTGGCCTGCAGAGACCAACAGCCTGCACAGCTCTGTGTGGCCATGGCTGGGGGAGAGCATGTTTATAATGTTGTCGCGCAGCACAGCTCTGGCCTGGCATGTGCGAGCCCTGGATCCAACCCCCAGGACTACAAATTATACATGTGCAGATGAGAGAAAGGATAGATAAAATTACTGCTATATAAGAATTGGGACAGTATATCTCTATGTAGTTTTTCTTTTTCGTGAAAGTAAAAACCCCTTTTTATTTATGTGTTTTACTGCTTTAATCAATAGGTTCTCAGACTCTCATTAACATTTCCACAAACATAAATGGGAGACGCCACTTGGGACCCCGGAAAGCTGAGTATCATATTCTGCACAGATCTGTGCACTCATTGTGTCACTCACCGTGAGCTCTGTGTGATCCTCTTTCTGGTTTGCCACCCGTGTCTTCAGCGCTGGCTGTTTCAACCCATGTGCCCTGTGCAGACCTGAGTACTCACCTCAAGATTCTCAGCACCACCTAGTGGCTAGATGCAGCGTCAGCACATGCCGTTGGCTCTGCCAAGTGTGTTACTACAAGTTGGGGATAAAGATGATGGATGTTGTGCACTTTGGGCAAAAGAAAAGGACGACACACCATGTCCTTTTACTTCATAGTAGGACCATGCTCTAGTAAATTGCTGTTGTTTTGTTTTGTTTCGGGGGCGGGGGTGTCAAGGCATGGTTTCTCTGTGTAGCTCTGGCTGTCCTGGACTCACTTCTTAGACCAGGCTAACCTTGAATTCACAGAGATCCGCCCACCTCTGTCCACCAAGTGCTGGGACTAAAGGCCTGCGCTACCGCACCTGGTTCATGTTGGTGTGTTTTAAACGTGAGTCTCATCCCTGCTTTCTAGGTTGATGCTGCCGTGACCCCAGAGGAGCGCCACCTCTCCAAGATGCAGCAGAATGGATATGAGAACCCAACGTACAAGTTCTTTGAGCAGATGCAGAACTAAACCACCGCTACAGCAGCGGCCTCTGAACTTGGACAGCAAAACCATTGCTTCACTACCCATCGGTGTTCATTCATAAAATAATGTGGAAAGAAACGAACCCTTCTGTTTTATTATTTACTCATCATCGCCTTTTGACAGCTGTGCTGTAACACAAGTAGATGCCTGAACTTGAATTAATATACAAATCAGTAATGTATTCTTTCTCTCTTTACATTCTGGTCTCTACACTACATTATTAATGGATTTTGTGTACTGTAAAAAAGAAAAAAAATTAGTTGTATCAAACTAGTGCATGAATAGATTCTCTCCTGATTATTTATCACATACATAGCCCCCTAGCCCGCTGTATATTATTCTTGTGGTTTGTGGCCCAATTAACTCCTACTTGAAATGCTTTAAAAATCGATGGGGGATGCTTCATGTGAACTTGGGCGTTTAGCTGCTTCTCTAATCTAAGTATTCTTTTCCTGGTCACTATGCATTTTAAACATTTTTAAGTATTCCAAATGATTTAGGAAATTCTTTTCCAAGATTGCATTTTACTGTACAGATTGCTGCTTCTGCTCTGTCTGTGACATAGGAATGAGAGGGTACACATTGATTCCTTTGTGCCTGTTTTATGTGCACACATTAGGCATTGAGAATTTGAACTTTTTTTTTTTTTTTTTTGTCCATGTATCTTTGGATCTTTAATTAAAGAAGAAGAAAGAGAGAAAGAAAAGAAAAGAAAGGAAAGAAAGAAAGAAAGAAAGAAAGAAAGAAAGAAAGAAAGAAAGAAAGAAAGAAAGAAGAAGAAAGAAAGAGAAATCCCTTTTCGTTGTAAGCACTTTTCCGGGTGTGGGGGGGAGGGAGTATTCGACTGGTCTCAAATCACCAAGAATTCTCCGAAAATACTTTTCTGCAGGATGATTGTACAGAATCATTGCTTCTGCCATGATAGCTTTCTACACTGTATTACATAAATAAATTCAATAAAACAATTCCAGGTGAGGCTTTTCTTTGGGAGGGTGATTGTGGACACTGAATGGTAAAAGTGATACGGGTTAGGAGAAGAGGAAGCAGGTTCTGTTGCGTTTACCCATTCTAATGCATTTTATTTAACAATACTGAAAGAAAATGAAAACAAAGAGGAAAATATGAGGGTTGAGAGGGCACAACAGTTCCTGTCCTCTCCAGATCTTACTGTTTCCCACTTCTTTCCTAATATTCCCTGCACTCTGCCCAACTATGCATGGAGATAACCTAAGACCCCTGCACAGACGTAGCCCATGGCAGTTCAGTATCCAAGTGGGTTCCATTGTGATAGGAACAGGGACTGTCTCTGACATGAACTGATTGGCCTGCTCTTTAATTACCTCCCCCTGAGAGGGAAGCAGCATTCCCAGAGAGCTTAAAACAGCTCCTTTAAGCATCCATAGGAATAAATACACTGGGCAAGGGCATTGCAATGATGTGATTCTATTGTAAGAGTTGTTTATTTAGTAATTTAGACTGATGAGAATCCATCCCATATAGCCATTCACAACTAAGTGTGAGTCTGAAGGGTAAATTGTGGGGAACACAGCTTAGTTCTGTTGAAATATTTCATAGGCCTAATTGATGGTGTTTATTGTATAACATAAACCTTCTACACCCTTATGTTCCAAATGGGAGACAAAAGAAAAAGAAAGGCTGTAGAGAATTTATTTTTCCTTTAAAGGTAGGGTCTCAAGTGTCCTGATCTAGCCTCTAACTCATGTAGCCAAGAATGGCCTTATGCTCCTGATCGTCCTGCCTCCACCTTCCAAGTGCTAGGACTGCAGCATGCATCATCATGCCCCTTAGATGGAGTGCTGGGATTGAATCCAGGACTCCCTGTGTTTTAGCAAACTCCTCTAACATATGAGCTGTGTCCTCAGCCCCCAGTAATGATACTTAAAGCAGCTGTTAACTACCTCTACAGCAAAGCCTGGACCCACCCACACTTTGTGGGCACTCATTCACATGCATGGGAATGTGAGCATTGTAGGATATTTACCATTGTCTACCTCATTCCAATCAGAAATGTCTCCCGTGCCTGTGATTCCAGTTCTTGAGAGGGAGGCAAAAGACCAAGGCCTCCCAAGACAACAGAGTAAGTGTATCAAAAAGTGAAAGGAATAGCAGTCTCAGGAAAGACCCCTGTGCTCAGATTTTTTGGTTCTGTTGCTCGCCTTATGGAGTTCCTGTCCTCTACAGATCTTACTGTTTCTCACTTCTTTCCTAATATTCCCTGCACTCTGCCCGACTATGCATGGAGATAACCTAAGACCCCTGCACAGACGTAGCCCATGGCAGTTCAGTATCCAAGTGGGTTCCATCGTGATAGGAACAGGGACTGTCTCTGACATGAACTGATTGGCCTGCTCTTTAATTACCTCCCCCTGAGGGGGAAGCAGCATTCCCAGGCCACAGAAGAAGACACTGCAGCCACTCCTGATGAGACCTAATTGACTAGGATCAGAAGGAAGGAGAAGTCCTCCCCTATCAGTGGACTTGGGGAGGGGCATGCATGCAGAGGGTGGAGGAAAGGAGGGATTGGGATGGGAGGAGGGAGGGAACCAAGGGGGGGATACAAAGTGAGTAAAGTGTAATTAATAAAGAAAAATAAAAAGTGAAAGGACAAAAGTGTTTCCAGAAGACAGTCTCCAACACTAGAAGGAAAATCAAGTGTACAGATCCTGCCAAACATCTCTTAAGTAGCAAACCACTGATCTATAAATCTTTTTATTAACATTTATTTTATGTGGAGTGTGTTGTACATGCTACAGTGCACTTACGAGTTTCAAAGGGCAACTTGCTGGGAAGTTTGCTCTCTCCACTGTATATTCTGGGAATCAAAGTCGTCAGGCTTGGCAGGAAGCACCTCTACCCACTGAGCCATCTTGACAGTCTTTATAACTTAATGCCCTATGCACACAGTCTTTAATTTAGGATGCCTATACTAATTCCAGTTGCTATAATTATAAATAAATAAATATAAAACAATAGCTCAAGAACAGATGGCTTAAAACCTCATATTTTTCTAGTCCTACTACCTAGAATCAAGATTGGAACGACAGTGTGGCTGAAGGCCTTCCCTACTTATACCTGACTTCTTCCTCTCTTGATTCCTCCCATGAGGAAGAGGAAAAATCTCTAGTGTTTTATCTCCCTTGATATTAATCCCAACCTGAGATCTGACCTGTTCTAACCCTAGTCACTTCCAAAGGTTGCACTTAACCAATATCATCACTGAGAACTAGGGTTTCAACATAAATTTCGATCCAACTGTTGTTCTAATGTCAGAGAGCACATTGTTTTCTGTTGTCTCAAGAACATAAGAATCATCCAACACTTGCAAGACATGCTACAGTAATGGTGGTAACTAACACCAGACCAATAAGATGGTTCTACTGAAGTCTACCTTTGCAAACCAGTGAGTTCACAGAGTCTGTTTGCAGAGATATGGGTGAGAGATGACTTATAGGGGTATCTAACTCGGAAGCAGCTGCATCACCAAAATAACTTCCAGTTTGGGTGATGAGTCACAAAAGCTGTATCTCTGGAGCTCTCTGTATGACTTGTAGACAGCTCAGCAGGCTAAAGCCTCTTCTCCCCAGCAGTCCTTACTGCTTATATAACCTTGATTTTAGAAGGTTAAATAGATATGATGTTTATAGAATTGATTTCTAAATATTTATGCCCCCAAATTACTATAGTTACCAGCCTCCTTTATTATAATAAGAGGTGTAGTATGGTGACTCATAACTGGGGAGGGCCTTTGTCAATCTCCTAAGTTTCAGGAACTTCCTGATACCTGCAGTTGTTAACTTCTTGAGTCTCCAGAATGTTCTCTTCTGGATGGCTGTTGAGAACTTCCTGAGTCTTAAGGACTCTCCCTCCAGAGTGGAATGTTTGTTTCTGTCAGAGGAAATTGCTGCATAACACTTCAGTCTGTCATCTAGTTCTTACATTCTTGGTGCCACTTCTGAAAAGTTCCCTAAGGTTTCCAGTAGGTACTATATTATTTTCCTCTATCCATGACTGAGTATTGACTCAAGATGCCACAGCAACAGACATTTGTCTCAGAGGCTTGAGGCATTATGGGGAAAAAGTTTATTGTGGCTCCAGAAGGAAAGAGCCCATCATAGCAAGAAAACAGAGGCAGGAGCATGAGGCCGGAAATCTAGGTGAGATAAAATTCAGTAGGCAAATTCCCCTGATAGGTATGCTATGGTACTGCTGAACTTCTGGCATATTTAAAACTGACTCTCAGTGGCCTTACAACTAGAAAGACAGCTTGTTTTTTCCTTAGCTTCCTTGAAATGGTACCCCACCGTATTAATTATTCTTTTGTTGCTGTGGTGAAATACTCTGACCAAAGCTACTTTGAGAGAAAGTATTTTTGTGGCTCTAGAAGAAATGAGAAATTGTGGAAGGGAAAGCGTAGTAGCAGCAGCGTGAAGCCAGCTCTGAACAGCAGTCAAGAAACTGAGAAGACAGGATGTAGGGCTGGGTAATACAACCTCAGCATTTACCCCCAGAGATGCACTTCCTTCAGAAAGTTCTACCTTAAAGCATTCACAACCTCCCAAACAGCATCACCAACTGGGGAGCAAGTATTCAAACATATGAGCCTTTGGGGGACATTTTACATTCAAACTAAGAGCATACATTGTACTTGTTTGCATGTTGTTTTTTTAGAAGCTGTAGCCAATCTAATTTTCGCACCTTTGTAATGACTTTAGGGAAAGGAATGCTGAAAGGTCTAAGCATTTTTTTCCCTTTATCTTTGAAGTCTAAGAATTTTACCAGCTAAGTCTTCGGATGGATCCTATTTCTTAAAAGACATTTAAAAAATTATGTTTGTGTGTGTGTGTGTGTGTGTGTGTGTGTGTGTGTGTATGGGGGTGCTATATACATGCACATATAAGTTTACTTACCCACAGAGTCTAAAAGAGGACCTGGGATCTCCTGGAGCTGGAATTAGAAGCATTTGTAAGTCATTCAGGTATAGGTACTGGAAATAGAACTCAGGTCCTCTGCACAATCAGTATGTGCTCTTAACCACTGACCCAGCCTCTTAAGGTTAGTTGGTTCTTGTGGTTGGTTAACCTAGGTGTCCACCTGGGCCTGTTACATGTGTATATTCACAGCCCTCATTTTGGAAACATGTTCTTGGATCTAAGTTCTAAATAGATCTGTCTGTTATTTTTCTTGTCTTCTTTGGGAGATCCAATAATAGAAATATGTGACCTCCTCTGCCTAACTTCTGTTTCACCCTTTATTTATTAATTTACTTATTTATTCATTTGTTTTTCTTGGTGGTGGTTGGTTGGTTGGTTGGGTTTTGTTGTTTTTGGCTTTTCAAGACAGAGTTTCTCTGTGTACCCCTGGGTATCCTGGACTTGCTTTGTAGACCAGGCTGGCCTTGAACTCACAGAGATTTACCTGCCTCTGCCTCCCTGACTGCTGGGATTACAGGCGTGCACCACTGCTCCTGGATATTTCACCCTCTTTCTATCTGATGTTCCTTACTTTCTTTTTTAATTTTTTTTTATTTATTACAATTTATTCACTTTGTATCCCAGTTGTAACCCCTTCTTTATCCCCTTCCAATCCCACCTTCCCTCTCTCACCTCCTCCCATGCCCCTCCCCTAGTCCACTGATAGGGCAGGTCCTCCTCCCCTTCCTTCTTCTGCAACCTGATAAGGCTGCTCCCCCCTCAGGGGTAAGTGATCAAAGAGCCAGCCACTGAGTTCATGTCAGAGACAGTCCCTCTTCCCATTATTAGGGAACCCACTTGGACACTGAGCTGCCATGAGCTACATCTGTGCAGGGGTTCTAGGTTACGTCCATGCATGATCCTTGGTTGCAGTATCAGTCTCAGAAAAGACCGCTGTGCCCAGATTTTTTAGTTCTGTTGTTCTCCTGTGGAGCTTCTGTCTCCTCCAGGAATTTCTATCCTTACTTTATCTC